TATTAGTCTCTCTCTTTCTTTTCTTTCTTTCTTGGCGAGTTCTTTCATGGCTTATGGTTTATATTTGTTTTGTACGATCTGCGTGATGAATAAAGTTTATTTTTACCACGCGCTTCCGGTGCTAGCTGTAATACTGTTTGGTGACTTACCAAATAGGCTCGATCAATAGTGGACCAAGGTTTCACTCATAAATGTAAAAAAAAAAACAGTTTCGCTAAAGCACATCTAGATGTGCCATAAGTATTGCACATCTAAGTTCTATATCATTGATCTTATGTGAAGATTCATGTGGACATTTTTCTTTTTCCTTTCCTTTTCCTTTCTATGTTTGCTTGTGTCACTTAGATGTGCAATAACTAAGACACATTTAGATGTGCCCTAGACAACCCCCACCAAAATGGTGGACAAAGTTTCTGACCGTAAGTATACAAAAATCCTACTTCTACGAAAACTAACCCATGCAATCATGTGTCCAACTCTCACCAATCTCTCTCCCCCCCCTCCCTAATTTTTCAAGGTGGGCCTCCCTTCCCTCTAATCAAAATTTTTGCCAGCTAATCCCATACGTAACTCTTCGTAACTATTATTCATAGGTGCAAATGGGTAGTTGAACTTAAGTTAACAAGGTTTGATTTGTGTCGGGCAATACTGTATATTTGGCATTTATGATACGTTTCCAATGTATCTATAATTATTTTTGTTCCATGCTGTTATATTACCATTTTTGAATGTTTTATAATTATTTTATAGTCATTTTATATCATTTTTGGTACTAACCTATTGACATAGTGCCAGGTTTCAATTGCTGTTTTTTGCATGTTTTTTTACATTGTAGGTAATCAATATCAAACGGAGTCCAAACATAGCGAAGCTTTTTGTGGATTTTTTTGGACCAGAAAACAACTAATGGGCCGGAGAAGCGCCTGGGGGAGGGGGGTGCTCCGAGGGGAGCACAACCCACCAGGGCGCGCCTGGAGGCCCAGGCGCGCCCTGGTGGATTGTGCCCATCTCGGGTGCCCACCGGACCGCCTCTTTACTCTATAAATACCCCAATATTCTAGAAACCCTAGGGGAGTCGACGAAAATCAATTACAGCCGCCGCAAGTTCCAGAAATACCAGATCCAATCTAGACACAATCACGGAGAGTTTCATCATGTCCATTGGTGCCTCTCCGGTGATGCGTGAGTAGTCTTTTATAGACCTACGAGTCCATAGTTCGTAGCTAGATGGCTTCCTCTCTCTCGTTTGATTCTCAATACAGTGGTCTCTTGGAGATCCATATGATGCAATTCCTTTGCGGTGTGTTTCTTGGGATCCGATGAACTTTGAGTTTATGATCAGATCTATCTCTTTTTATCCATGAAAGTTATTCGAGTCTTCTTTGATCTCTTATATGCATGATTGCTTATAGCCTCGTATTTCTTCTATGATATTTGGGTTTTGTTTGGCCAACTTGATATATTTATCTTGCAATGGGAGGATGTGTGTCAGTGTCAAAACCGGCAGATCTCGGGTAGGGGGTCCAGAACTGTGCATCTAAGGATCGAAGGTAACAGGAGGCAGGGGACACGATGTTTACCCAGGTTCGGGCCCTCTTGATGGAGGTAATACCCTACGTCCTGCTTGATTGACTTTGATGAGTATAGGGGTTAAAAGAGTTGATCTACCTCGAGATCGTAATGGCTAAACCCTAGATGTCTAGCCTGTATGATTATGATTGCCTCTACGGACTAAACCCTCCGGTTTATATAGACACCGAAGGAGGCTAGGGTTGTACAAGGTCAGTTTACAGGGGAAGGAAACCATACATCTGGACGTCAAGCTTG